GCACTTCAAAACAACCACCTTTATCGATAAATTCAAAGCTTTATCCACAACATTTTTTTTTTTATAATTCTAGGAGCACACGGCACCCTCATATTTTTTGTCTGGAGCCCTGTCACTATAGAAGTGATGTCATATGAAGGCAGAAAAGTTCCGTTAAGAAGAGAGTCATAGTATGTGTTGCTAATAGTGCTGCATGGCACACAGAACTGATGCTGAACAGCTCCCGGCAGACTGGAGTGGATCTTAGTCCCAGAAACAGTTGGAATGAAGGTCATTCGGATTTAAGTGTGTCTAGTGGTCACCATGAATACTTGAAAGCAAACCACAGCCAATGGCATCATGGAGAGCTCATATTAAGTCTGTGATTTCAATCTCTGTGTTCTTGAGAGAACTGTATTAAATGAATGTGAATTCTGCAGACAGACTGTGTCTGCCTCCCAAATCTCTCTCACTATGTAAACTGTATCATTTAATCCATACGTATGTGTGTGTGACCGCACAGCTGTGACAGCTGGCTTTATGAGGTCATATGACAGAGCCATCTGTACTCAAATGTACCAGCTCTTTCACTTAGACACACACACACTTGACCTCATACCCTTGATCTGCCAGACAGATGCTCTAAATGCTCTCAAAGTGGACCACAAGTTAAAGTGCATTTAACAGGACACATCCTACATGGTCTCTATGGTGAGTCTATGACAGTGTTGGTGAAAGAAACAGGCAGAGAAAGAGAGAAGTGCTCTGGAACCTGATAGTCAATGGGAGAAGAACTGTGGGGCTCTTGAAATATGATAGGCCAAGGCAGAGAAAGACTGTGTGTAATGCGATGTGGTTGCTGCTGTCCGTCTCTAGTCACTGACAGGTGCACTGGGAGTGTTTCCTCATACAATTTCCGTACAATGTCACGCGGCCCGTCCAGCACACACCTATGAGCCCTGAGAGAGGAACTACTAAACAAAGACTGCAGAACATACGATACTCTGTCTAAAAATGATCCTAATATACAGACAAGACGTGATAGACCGATTATACGGGGGGTACATAACTTTAAAAAAGTAGATATGTAAGTACAGGTTGTAAATTGTCATCTGGTACACCCCAAAAAAAAAAAAAAACATTTGAATGAATAATTCATGATTTGAAATAATAATAATAAATAATAATAATTTCCATTTGAAAACTTTTATTACAATTTAAATTAATTATTCATCATTTGTAATAAAAAATACTTTCAACTTGAAAATCTAATAATTCAGTTCACCTTTATTAACATATAAATTAATAATTCATATTTTTCCATAATAAAAATAATAGTAAATATTACCTTTTAATTTAAAATATAATTCAAAAATGTAATTCAGTTCAGTTTTATTAAAGGGGTCATATGATGCGATTTCAAGTTTTCCTTTCCCTTTGGTGTGTTATAAGCTGTTCGTGAATAGATAAGATACCTAAAGTTGCAAAGACTAAAGTCTCAAACCCAAAGAGATATTCTTTATAAAAGTTAAGACTGGTCCACGCCCTCCTAAATGCCTCATTTAAACACGCCCCCACATGTCTACGTCACTGTGTGGGAAGATTTGCATAACGCCGCCCAAATGTGCACGCAAAGAAAGAAGGCTAACTTTATAGTTGCTGCCGCCGCCATGTTGTGAAGACGCTGTGTGTTTCGTTGCGAAAGCGAAAATATTAGGGATGCACGATATATCGGCCACCATATCGGTATCGGCCGATAAATGCTCATTTTTTCTGTTATCGGTATCGGCCCGATAAGAAAATTTGGCCGATATCTTAAAGCCGATAAATAATGCATTATTTCCTTCAGAGACACTTCAGATGCGCGCTGTTCGTTTGCAGCCTTTTGTGCAATTGTATAAACACATTTCATTACACCAAATACACAAAATAATGTTCTTTTTAGCAACATCATATGACCCCTTTAACATTTGAATTAATAATTTAAAGCTGCAGTCCATAAGTTTTGCTTCTTTGTCGCCATCTTTGTTTGAACAAGTCTGCCACTTTTGTTCTGACCAACTGAGGAAAAAAGCATTACAATAAATCGCACTACCAATGGTGATTTAATCTAAAGATTGGTTAGCTCATTTCATATCAAACCGTTCAAATTATTATTATTGTTATACTTTATTCTCAAATTATTAATGTTAAAAACATCAGCATTGCCTATAGTGTGTATTAGCGTGTAGATTTAAATTTCTGCAGTCTAATCTCTAATTGTCATACCATTCGAATTTCAACTGGCTGGTTATGTACTTGCTCAAATATTGATTTCGGATCATTTTTAACCAAAAAAAGTTACGGACTGCAGCTTTAATGATAGATAGATAGATAGATAGATAGATAGATAGTAGTCTATCTAGTAGTAGATAGATAGTAGACATCCTTATTTGTCTCACTGATCATCATTTTGTGAAATATTTTTGTGAAATATTGAGTAAAAGAAATGTTCACTTGATTTCAGCAATTTTGTGTCTCCTGTCTCATCATTATTATATTACGTAACCTAAATATCAATATTATATTGTCCATCGCCATGCATTCTAAATATTGACATCGAACCCATCTCAGTTGAGCACTCCAGGGAAGAGTCTCATGAGAGCTCTGCTCTATGTATCTTTGTTATGCAGTCTGCTGTTCACGCTTCAGTCTGCCATATGCTTTGGTCTGTAATGTTCTAGCTCTTTCAGTGACTCACTTAGGAAAAAGCATTTTTAGCAGGAGACAGAAGAAGCATGTCTCTCTCTGTGCCAATTCAGTTAAAACTATTTGCGAGCAGCAGGGTGCTGGGCTATTTCAGCCTGTCTATTTATACTGATCGTCCTAAAACGCATGAGCTCCTGCCTGTGTCACTGACATACCAGAGAAACACATGGACAGAAAGACAGACAGATGAATGGACATATAGTAATGCAGAAAATGTGTGAATGGATTATGGCATGGCATACAGACCACTTTTGCTGGAATTTGTGAAATGCAATCACATAAATCCTATGCAACTTCATCTTTTACACTATTCTAATTAGGCAAGGCCTTGCATAATCTAACTATATACTAATACTGTCTGTAAGGGGGCCGTTATGTACAAGTTTGAAGTACCATATGTTTATTATCATAAGGAAATACAGATTTTTAGAGTCACTTTACCTTAATGAGGAAGTTTACTTAACCATATAATATCTCACCTTAAATTATTCATCTATATCAAGTATACTTGACCCTTGAATCAATTAATTGAAATAAATAGCTACTCAATTACGGTTACCTATAAAATCAAATCATAACACATTATAGTAGCTGTAAATAATTTATGATGCATTGAAAGACAATAAGTACTATGCTAGAATACATTTAATATATTACCATATCTAGATATAGGACTAGAATAAAGTACTATGCAATAACCGATTTAAAAAATCTGTATATTGTAGTGCACTATATTTGCAACTTCATGTTTTATACTAATCTAACTTGCATATTCAAACTAAATAACAGTATTAAGTGTGTCACTATGTAAAAGTTTGAAGGACCATATGTATATTATCATAAGGAAATACCGATGGTCCCATTCTTTTCTGAGGAAAAAAAAAAAGACTTGGCAGAAAAGTTTAGGGAAAAACTTAAGAAAAAAAATAAAAATAAATAAATAATTAAAAAAACAAGATTAAAATAAAAAAATTAGATTACCATTAATAAATAGAAATGGGATTGAAGTAAATAAGTAAATAAATAATACATCAAACAGTATAATGAGTGTGTGGGGGGGGGGGGGGG